AAATTATTCCATCCTGATTCAAAAAATACGTCAAACTATTTTGTAAGCATAATAATTACTAAAACCATTTTGACTAAATGTACTTATAATTTTATTCCATCGAGTTAAAAGTTTGTTTTTTTTTATATTTATATTCCTTTTTGATAATATTATATAATAATATGTAATATAATAGTGAGCAAATATGTCTATGATTTAGAATGTTCTCAATGCAATTGACATCATAAATTTATTATCTGTATATTATAATTACCCATTGAAAAAGTCAAGTTTTATATTTGAATTATTATATGAATCATATATAAATATGACCTTTATGATTTTCCAGGAAAATGTATTCAAAAACCAATGTTACATGTCAAATTACTGTCAAAATACGTGACATATCTTATTTGAAGAACATATATTACTTGATTAAAACATAAAATAAGACAGGTTTTATTTTTACAAGTTGTATGATATTTTACTGTGAATTACTTTTCAAAATGTATGTGCTCATGTGTAGTTAATTTGTTATTCACGTTTTGAACGTCACGAAAAAAAGATAATAATCAAATATGATATTTTTCACTACTCTTAAGTAGATAAAATGTATAGATATAGTACAAAGAAGATCATAATATTATTGTATTTCCTAATAATTATATTCTTTTTTTTAGTCATTTCATGAATTTCATTTTTAGAAATTAAAAAAAAATGCACTGATGAACTCGATCAATTCAACATTTAAGCAAGCAAAATATGTATTTTTTTTTTTAAAAAAAAAACCTTAATACAGTGCTTTGGGTTTTCGCCTGAATATGTGTACTTATGGCTTCTAAATAATGTAAAATGTTAAGCTATCCTTTGAAGCGTATAGTATAATAAATGTACTCAACGAACAAAATATGTAATGTAGTAAACTATAGTCTAAAGTAAATTTGACAATTATTAGTCATCGTTTGAAAACCTATGGAAAGCCATTAATCAGAATTTTACCAAGTTTTATCATAATAATTAAATGAAATTTCAAATTGTGTATGTACTATGAATATGGGATGCCAAAAAGTTTTTAACGGAAATTCTTGTAACACACGACCCTGTACTATAATAATATAATATGTGAAGATTCATGATATGTAATATTTGCGTGAGACTTGTAATATTTATTAAAAAACTTAACAGTAATATAATGTTAAAAATATTATAAGCTGCACTTATTAGCAATAGTTAAGCTATAGTACTTATACCTACAAGTCAATAACTACTATGGATGATAATATTCCTGATAATATAATTTTTTGTATCATAAAAATCGGATGTCTTTTACAAAGTTCGGAAATTAAAATATTCAATTAATAAAAGAATATCAGATAACAATACCTATGCTGTGTAAAAAATAATATAATATTGATGCTTTGAATAATTGTTGAAAAACATTTCAGGTTTTTTGGTTGGTATTTGTACTGTTTGGAACAATGTGTTCAGTATCAATTTCATTTATTCATAAACATGAATATTTTTTTGAAAATATATATCTTATCAAATATATATATTATATAGTTGTGGCGTGGTGGAAAAATCTTCACATTTTGATGGAATTAGGACATAGTCCTCCTAAACTATAGAACCGTGTACAAATACCGAATGCACAAAAACAAAATAAATAATGTAACATTGATTTACAGCTGATATAAAAAAAGTATAGTGTTTCAAATATGAATAAATTATTTCTGAAAACAAAGTGATAGAACTACTACTGCAGCTATTAATAATGGTGGGAAATATAAACGAGATGACGAATATTCTACAATGAACTCTGTATCGTAAAATATATATTTTACGACGAAAATGATAGATGATACAGTTTAATCGCCAATTCTTGAGAAAAAAAAAATATCAAATTGAAGGTCTGAAAATGAATGAAATAAAATATAAAATGCAAAGTTACTCCAATAATGAATATTTTAGATATGAAACATTGAATTAAAAAAACGTACCTTGACAATAATTATTCAAACGCTACATATTATATTGATTTTACATTGTGTTGAGTAGAGTAACGGAAATATGGTGTATAATATTACGGTAAACGATTTATCACATGTTTTAACAAGTAGATTTTACTAACCGACTATATAATGTTATTATTATGTATGTATCACAATGTTTTCTCTACCCTAAGATTTCCAACTTTATGACAAAAAAAGTTTTTTTTCCATCGCATGTATTAGAAAATAAAAAATTTACATTACTAACATTTTAGTGATATGTTTTTCTCAATGTAACTGTTTTAGACAATTTAAATGATACATAATATCAATCGCTTTAAATTTATGAAAAATGTAACTCCTCAATTTTACGAACCTAATCTTCAAGGTTAGGTTCATCAAAACAATAAATGATACTGAACAAAATATTAAGTTAATTTACAGCATACAAATCTGTAACAAAATGTTGGCCTATATTATCATAAGTAATGAAGTATACTTAAATGTATCATAATAATATATTTTATAATATTATTAGATATTTTCAGAAGAAGTTGCATCATAAAGACTTTTATCAATTGAATTCTATAAAAAATAAAAATATGGATAATTTTATTAGTTCAAGACTTGACTAATATATTAATTTTACATAAAAATGTTCTATGTTGCGTGCATTTTCTTTATTGGATAATGTACAAAAAATCATGTTTTTTTTTTTGTATATTCGCGATAAAATCTTCTACTTCAAAGCATATTATGATGTTTAGTTTGCATTATTTCAATGTTCTAAATGAAATTTATTGAGTTGGTTAATCTCCCACGATCGGCGCTTTTAGGGTTTACAGCGTAAAGCCGTAAAGGTCTTAAAAACATTCTATTGTACTTACCTTCTGTAATGGCAGCAGAGTTAACGTAACATTTTATGTCTGATTTTATGCACATACACTAAATTTAAATTTTGTTTCTTATGACTACAATTATGAAACGCTTAAAACCAAATGATTCTTTCAACATTTCCCCGAAAAATATAATAAAATTACAATGTACGATTTATCCGATTAACAAAGATTCATCCTGAAAACAGTGAAAGAAAATAATCAGAATGCAACTGAAGTTGAACTTGGTGAGATTTTTTTTATCAATATTTTTTTTAGTAGAAACTCCCAAGTTCAATATCTCTGAACTAATTAAATCCTACTAGCCAATGTTAGTTAGGTGCTTATTTTAACGTTACTTTTACAATCCAATTAATGGTATTTTGAGTAAGAGATAATAGAATATAGTCTAGTGATAATATCTTTATAGTATTGTTTAAAATCGCTTATGTAACTTATTTAATTGAGGAAGTAATTAAAAACTAACTAAATTAGAATTAAATAAATTATTATACTATGACATAACATTTTATTGCATACTGTCGTATATTGTAGACAGTCGTCAAAACAATATTATTATACGTATACATACATGTATGTGTAATTTTAATTGTAAATATTATTAGCATAGGTCAGTGAAGCTAGATATATGCTGAGGTAGCATACATATTTCCTATAAAACGTCGCCAGACACACAGGCGCGAGTATAGTCCCGTTGTCGCAGAGTGATTCGGCGAGAACGTAGGTACGACGGTTGTACGTGTGAAACGGCGACCACAGTTGTACGAGCTAGGCAATCTGGATTTGCTAAGTGTTTTATTTATATTTGTTTTAATTCATTATAAGTGTTTCCGACCTGAAAAGTCGAGTTTAATATTATTATTTCAAGTCTTCTTCGTTCGTACATTTATACCGGAACAGTGTTCTGCAGACACACACGCCTATAGACGTACGTTTCCCCAGCCCCCCCATATATCACTTTTACCAAATTTTCTTTTGCCAACATTTAGTACGTMATTTGTTTGTATTTGTTTGACCAAACTCAGAATTTGTTTGATGTCGGTTCACCTCGGAAAATCGGTTTTCCATGTACGGGACTGGAGAAACGTTTTCTTAGAAACTCTCTCCCTCCTTAGCACTGTAAATAATAGACTTAGAGACATTTTTTTTATCAATATTTTTTGCGTCATTGGTTTGTATTTGTTTGACCACACTCAGATTTTTTGATGATGAAAAAATAAAAATGTATTCTAAAAATGTAGCGCAAGTGTCTATGAATTATATTTAAAAGAAATTTTTTAAAAATATTGATTAGAACAACAGTTATTTCATTTGTCAGAATGTCAGATCTCTGTGAGACACCCTATATATTATGTTGTTGAAAACTTGTTAAAAATGAATACAATTTTTATTTTTATAATATATACCTACTGATTTGTGTTTATTTAATGTAATTTATATTTATATTATATTATTCTCGTTATTGATATTATAATATGTTTAATATATAATTTACCACGCTTTTAGAACATTTGAAAGTGAATTTCGTGAATCATCTTATAATATAGTTCCTATTTTGCATATAATAAATATATTTTACATTGTTTATAATTACATTGACACCAAAATATTACCTAAGATTTTAGGAAAAGCATCAAATAGGTTTTCAGTTTTTGTATACAAATACCTATACTACAGAGTGATTATTAAATTAATCTCTGATTAATTTATCAAACAACACTCATTATTTCAAAAGGTATTGACTTTTTTCAAAATATTTTTTACATGGTTTCAATTTGTTAAAAAACCAACGTTTTTATTAAAAAAATAATATTTTTAAATATTTTTTATCCAATTCAGTTTTTATGTTTTTTACTTTTTTGAAGACAACATAGAGTTTTCATTTCATATTCCGAAGCAGAATATTTTTCTAAGTATTTTGATATATGAAAATCAAATTTGGGGCTAGTAGTTTATGAGTTATAAGTATTTAAAGTTTAGATTGGCAGAGTGGTGAGGTACGGGGTTACCCCGCAAATTGTTTGTCCACTACTCCGCTTGTCTAAACTTTAAATACTTATAACTCATTAACTTCAGAAAATTAGGGATTTTAATCTGGAAAATTAAGGAGATGATTGTCCGGAAAATATAAAGGATGATTATTCGGAATATTAGGGATGATTTTCCAGATGATATAGAGGACGATTTTCCAGAAGATATAGGTGGTGATGATTTGGATGGTATAGGGGAAGATTATCAGGAAAATTTAGTAGTCCGATTAGTGATCGTCCGGAAAACTTAGGGGAAGATTATCTGGAAGATATAAGGGTTGATTATCCCATAAAATTTAAAAAATACTATCATAGAATTATTATTTAAATGTCACATTGATATGATAAGGGGGGGGGGGTAATTCCCACCCCCGTATCTACGGTTGTGTGCATAAGGGAGGTAGATAATTTATTGTAAAGTTTAATCTTAATGTTATTTACTTTTATTATAAATGTTAGGAGTTTCAAAGTTGGAATTTTGACAAAATACATAACAATTATGAAAATTCGCAAATTATTTTAAGCTAGAAATTCATAAAGAATTTTCTTTTTCTAAGAATCAAGGTTCTTTACAAGTTTGTCAATCTTTAACACAAAAAAATGTCCACCGGAAATTCAAATTAAATTTTTATGAGCATTTGAAATTTAAATTTTCACATTTTCTTATTTTGGTATAACTCTAATCAAATGACAGCAGATACTTATATATATATAGGGGATGATTATCCTGAAAATTTAGGGGATGATAATCCGAAAAATATAGGGGATGATAATCCGGAAAATATAGGGGATGATAATCCGGAAAATATAGGGGACGATTTTCTGGATTATATAGGGGATGGTTATCCGGATGATATGGAGGACGATTTTCCAGAAGATATAGGGGATGATGATTCGGATGGTATAGGAGAAGATTATCTGGAAAATTTAGGTGAAGATTATCCGTAAAATATAAGGGATGATTATTCAGAACATTTAGGGGATGATCGTCCGGAAATTATAATGGATGATTTTTCAGAAGATGTAGGGAATACAAATCTGGAAAATATAGGGGGTGATCAACCGGAAAAATTTAGGKGATGATTATCCGGATGTAGGGGACAATTTTCCAAAAGATATAGGGGAAGATTATCCGAATGGAATAGGTGAAGATTATCCGGAAAAATATAGGGGATGATAATCCGGAAAATATAAGGGATGATTATCCAGCAAATTTAGGGGATGATTTTCCGGAGGGATGATCATCCAGAAAGGGGATGATCAACTGGAACAATTAATGGGACGATTTTCTGAATTATATAGGGGATGATTATCTGGGTGATTTAGGGGACAACTTTCCTGAAAATATAGGGGATAATTTGGAAAATTAGGAATGATTATCTGAATTATATAGGGGATGGTTTTTCAGAAGATATAGGAGATAATTATGCGGATGATATAGGGGAAGATTATCAGGAAAATTTAGTAGATGATCGTCCGGAAAACTTAGGGGAAGATTATCTGGAAGGTATAAGGATTGATTATCCTGTAAAATTTAAAAAATACTATCATTGAATTATTATTTAAATGCCACATTAATATCAAAATTTAAAAATTTAGTGCTCATAAAAATAAAGTTATATTGATATTTAAAAAAAAAATTGAAAAGGATTATTATTAAAATAATTTTAGGTTCTGAACGGAGTTATTTGAATTTACAATTATGTGTTTTTTTCTCTGTATATAAAACTTGCAAAATATTTTGAATCATGTTGAGCTATTTAAAGGCATATGAAATTGAAAATAATATTTTTTTTAAAAAAAATTGTGAAATCCACCATCATTTTTTATGAGATTAATTTTGACAAAATTCGTAAAGTATAGTGTACTATTCGTTTTGTTGTATCATTGTAATGCGTATGCGTACATTATTTTTTAGTTTTTCCAAACTACGGAAGTATTTACCTGTGCAAACTTTGCGTATAATTTATCTATCTTTATTCCAATCAATATTTCAATATGGTTTATTGGTCTGGGGAGGTCTGAATGAGTTTGCGGTTAGACCTTTAAAAATGTTACAAAGAAAGATTATTAGGATCTGTTTATGCAAAAATAACTTAGTAGGCTCTTCAGGAGATAATTTTAAACTGTTCAGAGTGTTACCATTCGAGAGTGTATATAAGAAGGTAACTATTCTATATGTAATACAAAATTATGAAACATTTGTAGATAATGAAAATATAGGGAAAAAAAGAGAAGTAAGAGCATTTGATGTGAATATAACTTATTACAAAAAAGCATTTGGCCAAAAATTCATTAATTATTTAGGTCCAAAATATTTTAATTTAATGCCACTACATTAAAAAAAAACGCATTTACTCTACATCTGGGAATCTTAAAATTTCAAGTATAAAAGAGCAAATTAACTTATGATTATTTTGTCTATTAAGCGTATAAAGATTAAAATGCAACATTATTAAATTTATTTCACATAACCATTTCTTGTTTCTATATGTAACAATCTTAGATTTTTAATTCTAGTCCCCCTCCTTAACACTGTAAA